ATGGGAGAGGCAGCTGGGTAGTGGAGGGCACTGACCTCAGAGTTAGGAGACGTCTCCCTACCTATGTGGCATTACAAAGGATACTTAATGTTTCTGGGCCTTTCTTTTCCCATCCATAAAAGAAATGCGCAGGCTCAGACCCTGTGGGCACAGGACTCCGAGGCACTACTCCAAGCATGGTCCACAGACTGTGGGAACATCATCCCCTTTCTCTAAACACACACAAGTGCTGCTTAATAAAGCTCAGAGTAATGCAAAGCGTTACTGGTATCTGAGCAAGTTGCTTTTGTCATCCATGGATTTTGTTACTCAAAAGATGCTAACGGGGCCACCTGGGTGGCTCAGTCGTTGAGGCCTCAGACTCTTGATTTTGTCTCAGGTCATGATCTCAGGGTCATGAGATCGAGCCCCCCATGGGGCTCTGTGCTGGCTATGGAGCCTGCTTTAGGTTCTCTCTCCCCCTCTCCCCCCACAGGCACTCTCTCTCTCTCAAAAAAAAAAAAAAAAATGCTAATGATCTCACTTATGTGTGGAAACTTAAAAAAAAAAAAAAAGCTCATTAATGCAGCATACTGATTGGTGGTTGCCAGAGGTAGGGGGTGGGAGTGGATGAAATGAGTGAAGGGGGTCAAACTTCCAGGTATAAAATCAGTAAGTCCTGGGGATGTGACATACAGCATGGTGATTGCAGTGAAGAACACTGTATTGCATATTTGAAGGTTGCTAGGAAAGCAGATCTTCAAAGTTCTCATCGCACACACAATGTTTTGTAATGATGTAGGGTGACAGACATTGACTGGACTTCTTATGGCGATCATTTTGCCATATATACAAATAACAAGTCATTAGATTGTACATCTGAAATCTAATATAACATTACATGTCAATTATACCTCAAAGAAAGATAGGGAGAGTTTAACTAGCATTATATAGGGGTCCTGGAAGTGTTGACATTTGAAAGAGGATCCTCATATATTCAAAAGAACAAAGAAATTGCTGGTCTAGAACTCTGGATGATCCCTAATGCTCCTTTATAGGGATTAGCACATCATCTATCCTTCCTCAGCAGCTTGGCTGCCGATAATGTTGGTGAGGAAAGAAAGGGTTCAAATTAAGCCTACCCCGGGGGCGCCTGGGTGGCTCAGTTGGTTAGGCGACTGCCTTCGGCTCAGGTCACGATCCTGGAGTCCCGGGATCGAGTCCCACATCGGGCTCCCTTTTCAGCAGGGAGTCTGCTTCTCCCTCTGACCCTCCTCCCTCTCATGCTCTCTGTCTCTCATTCTCTCTCTCACAAATAAATAAAATCTTTAAAAAAAAAAAAAATTAAGCCTACCCCATCCCAGACATGATCACTGATTTTTCAAATTAATTTAATCTTAAAATGTAAGTAAAAAAAAAAAAAAACAAAGAACTTGCATTTTGGCCAATTATCACCAAACATTTCTATCACCTCCAAGGAGATCCAAACATGTATTTCTCTGTGGCCCAAAATCCCTTATAAAAGAAGACTGAGTGTACAGTTTGTAGCTAGTCATCATTATTTAGACTTAAAGCCCACCTTTACATGTATTATGATGGTACTAACACTAAATGCCTTTTAAAAAGCATTTAATACCGTCTACGACTTTTATGGTACATCAAAGTACAAGTCTACTCTTGTGAAAGAAAACTGTCTACATTCTAGCATAGCCACATGTAAAATGAATAATTGATAAGCAAAGGCAAAGAGCTTTGAAAACCTAGAGGTAGCGTATGGAGAGTACAAAATAATGCACAGACAACCAGCGTCCTGAAACCCAGCAACTAGTCAATTTAAAAAAAAAAAAAAAAATCAGTGAAGTTGGACAAATGCCTACATGGGTTTTGGAGCCTTTGGGAAAGAAGCTCTGTAAGGTACTGCCTCAAAGTTGGGCAAAGCTACTGGACAGGTTTTGGAGCACAGCGAAGTCAGGGGTGGCCAGTGGGTGGCAAAGCCTTTGGCCTCTAGGTCACTGCCCCGATCTGCCCGGGGCTCACAGTGACCGAAGAAGAAGGGGCAGATCCCGCCTGGAGAGCCGCTAAGGAACCAAGGAGGACCCTTCTACGACGGTCTGACCACTGGCATCTTTTTACAAGAAGCCTCCGCTTTTTACAAGACTGACACCTACAAACTCCTCCATTCAGCAGGAGGCCCAAGGCTCCACCGTGTGGACTGGGTGAAATAACACCATGGTTGTCCTGCATCTCAGTGTAGACCTGAAACACATCGACCTTCTCACTCTCGCCGTTTCTACGTGGGACATTGCCCCGTGAAAAATTACCCTCACCACGTACCTATGAACAACGGATCCTTTCCCTTCTTCCTTACCATGGAAAGCTGACAGAATCACAGTCAGGATGAAAAAAGTTTCTACAATACGTTAGCACGTTATTCATTTCAGGAGCTCCACTCAGCTACAAGGAACGCTAAGGCTAGAAGATGGTTCTACCGATGTGGTATATATACACAATGGAATATTATGCAGCCATCAAAAGGAATGAGATCTTGCCATTCGCAACGACGTGGATGGAACTGGAGGGTATTATGTTGAGCGACATAAGTCAAACAGAGAAAGACATGTATCCTATGATCTCACTGATATGAGGAATTCTTAATTGCAGGAAACAAACTGAGGGTTGCTGGAGTGGGGGGTGGGGTGGGAGGGATGGGGTGACTGGGTGATAGACACTGGGGAGGGTATGTGCTCTGGTAAGCGCTGTGAATTGTGCAAGACTGTTGAATCTCAGATCTGTACCTCTGAAACAAATAATGCAATATATGTTAAGAAAAAAAAAAAAGAAGAAGAAGGTAGCAGGAGGGGAAGAATGAAGCGGGGGAAATCGGAGGGGTAGACGAACCATGAGAGACGATGGACTCTGAAAAACAAACTGAGGGTTCTAGAGGGGAGGAGGGTGGGAGGATGGGTTAGCCTGGTGGTGGGTATTGAGGAGGGCACATTCTGCATGGAGCACTGGGTGTTATGCACAAACAATGAATCATGGAACACTACATCTAAAACTAATGATGTAATGTATGGGGATTAACATAAGAATAAAAAAAAAAGAAAAGAAAAAAAACTGCAAAAAAAAAAAAGAAGATGGTTCTACCTTCTCCTGTCTGGGACCCGGTTCTTCCTTCCCCTGCCAGGGATGGAGTTAAAAGGACTGACAATTAAATCCCCCTAATCACTGAACTATGTTTTATTCCTGGGAAACCCAGAGTGTTTTGCAGCCCCCCACCCCCACCCCGCCCGCATTCCTCAGTGCCTTCCCCGCCTCCAGGAACATTCTTTTTCTTTGGAAAACAGAGCGGTTGCCCTGAAGCGAAGAGAAATTTAAAAAGAAACTCAAGCGGTTTATTTAACATGATTAAGGTCCAGGAACATCAGTAAAAATATATAAAATACATAAATGCCACTAAGTGTAGACTTGGAATTCTATAGAAAACCCCAGAGGCCAGTCTACTGTGGAAGAGTCAACAAAGGAGAAAGGTCTTACATCACTCCTCGACTCGCGTTTCCTAAAGGCCCAATCTTTCCCATTTGGATGGCCTTCATGTGCTGTACTCCCAACAGAGGCGGTCGGTTCATTTGCAGACAGAAACACAGGCCCTCACGTTATGAAAAATCAGCAGTCCCATTTGCCTTAGGGCATTGGCTGCATCTTCTCCAGGGAATTAAAGTTAAAGCGAGGCTGTGGCTCGTCCCTCCCAATCTCTGAAGTGGTTCTTCTTGGGGCTCAGATATTCAACAAATTATAAGGAGCACCCTTGACTAATTTAAACATGAAAACCAGAGCTGGCCAGGCCAAAGGTTTTCGGTTCCACACGTCTGGCTTGTGGTCTGACTACCGGCCGCCCTGGGAATACAGACCCAGAACAGGAAGAAGACACCGAACCATCCATTCTCTGACATCCACATTGATGTAGGAAAGATGTTAGGGTTCGAAGCCGACAGCCAAGAAAGAATTCTTGAGATGTCTTAGGTGCAAAGAGGTGGTTTTATTAAAGCCCGGGGACAGAACCCGTGGGCAGAAGGAGCTGTACTGGGGTCAGGAGGAATGGCCCGTTATAGGTTTTCAAGTTGCGAAGGGGTTAGGGATAGCATCGGTCTCTAAGGAATTTTGGAAGCAACGTTTCCAGGACCTTGAGGGGGCTAGCTATTGTTGGGAAAAGGTCATTTACTACCGTCTAATAAAACCCTAGTCATGAGACCCTTCAGATGTATATCGGAGGGTCAAATGCTTGGAGGATGATTGCCAACATGGATCTTGGGGGGTTTAGAGACAAAGGAAGTTTCCAAAGGAATTTTTATATGTTAAAGTAGACTTACAGGATCCTAGGGGCCGGGCTAGGACTGCCTTTTGCCCTTAGCAAAGCATTAACATGGAGGCAGCCGAGTCCCTGGAGGAAGGTCACTCTGCCTGTTTCAAGGACTCATCAGTGGGCTGTAAGTAGTGAGGAAATTTAATAATTCTTCTTCTGCCTTTGTTTCCCATATCACAGCCCACAGTCATTTCCTACTTCTCAGAGATGAGCTTGAGATTTCCTCTGCAGGCAGAGGGGCTGAATGAACCATGCTTCTCATCAGAGCTAAGCCCTAGCCAGTCCTTGGTTAGCTGACTTTGCCTCCAGGTGGCCAAGAAACAACCCGTGGAGCCCCCGTGCACATCCCTGCTACCCCCACCAGGAGCTGTGGCCCTCTGCAGAGAAGTCCGCCATCCATGCTCTAGGGTTGCAGAGCCTGGCAGGCCCTCCACAGGCAGCGGACCCCTGGACCTCAGGGACAGGCTGGGTGACCACTAACATGCTTTCCATTCACGGACAGGGGTCGGGGGCAGGAAATTGAGGCAGTCCAATAGGATTTTTCTTTTGTCCAGCTGTTGATGACTAAAAAGAGATGATACTTTCTGACCAGCTATGTGACTTAAGCACCACCAAGGCTAGGCCCCTAAAGCAGAAGGAAACACAGACCAGGCCCTACCGTAAGGGTATTTGGTATCCAGCTTGCTCTCCGCCGTCCTCCTCCAAGGCAACAGGTCATCGCTGCACCCGTTTGGCATCCCGTTATACCCGATGCCGACAATCTTGTTTTCTGCATTCACGATGCACGCTCCGACCTACAGGGAAACGTGCCCAAAGGCTTGGTGACCTGGCGAGGCTGGTCTGCCCCTGGACAGGCAGACATGAAACCAGAAGCTTGCAGAGCTCCAAAGCGAGCAGGGGTGTGTGAAGAGCTCTCTATCTCCTCGCTTGCTTTCTGCAGCAGCTCCCACAAGCCCAAGAAAGCAGACCCCCTAACCCCCGAGGATGTCCAAGAAGCCGTGAACGGTGGCTGAAAAATGTAAGCACCTAGGGATGCAGCACAAAAGGCAGATTTACTCTGCCTTTAAGTTGCCAAGCATCCGCTTCCTGCTGTAATTTGTTCATTTCCAGGTTATCTCTGTACCTGTGAGTGTCCACTCTCTTAGAAAACTCACTTACCTGTGAATTTGGATCTTTGCTTCTCTGTGCTGATAAGAAGGCCACAGCCATGAAATACTCAGGCCATTCTAAATAGTCATCACGTTTTTTGCAGGGAACTTCACTCATGCTGGGTCTAGAAGGAAAACAGTGGTTGAGAAAAGCATTTTGGTACACCTGCTTGCCAGGCCAATGCAACCACATGTCAACTTTGGATCTGCAGAGTCAATTTCCGTTACATTTATCCGTCAGAAATCACAGATCATGGGACCTCAGATTGTGTCTGGCCTTAAGAAAAAAATTACTATTTCAGAAGTTTGGTTTTGGCACGTAGAGTTTCACATCCCCAAATTTTACATCTATGTACTGCTTTCTCATAGGATTTTTTTCAACCTACTACGAAAGGCCTGCTCCACAAATTGTTCTCATCCGTCACCTCCCTCCCTTAGGAAATAGAGCCAGCACAAGAGGGAGGGAGGGAGAAAGGAGAACATTTATTGATCATCTACTATCTTTCAGACACTGTGAATGGTTATACGCATCATCTCACTCAAGCCTCATTCCTAGCAAAGGTAGTAACATCCCATCTTACAGAAACTCCCCTAAATCACATAGGATTATTATCCATGCCAGTCAGATTCCTCTAGAGCTGTCCCAGCTCTGATATTAACCAGAGAATCTGTCCCTTTTCTTTCCCCTTAGCTTCCCCAGATGAAAACAGAAATTATCAACTCTGAGTACTCAATCAAGTGAGAAGAAACAATCAAAAGTGTCGAGTGCTGTGACTGAGGCTAAGTTTTAGTAACGTGGGCTCTACTTACTCGCTCACGGGCAGGCACAAGCTGATCTACAACAGGGGGAGCCCCTGAAACTTCCAGTAAGGGGTGGGTGGGGTCCTTTCAAGGGAAAATAAACAGCACAAGGGAAGAGGGCAACACAAGAACTGAGTGGGTATCACTGAGCATTCTTGAGCATTTGGGTGGAAGGCAGGTGTTCATTTCCTTGCACTTGGGCTTCAGGCTCCAGCCCTTGGCTTAAGCGGGACAGCGCGCCAGGGCCTCAAACTGGGATGCAGGGAAAAAGTCGCTACTGGGACCCATGATTATCCACTGATCTGTGGCCCAAATTTCTGAGAAGCCTGTAAGCCCTCTTAACTACACTGGTTTACCACGGGCTCAACAGTTAGCACCCATAATCGCTGTAGGGTGCCAGTTACGTGCCCACTAAACAGGAGGTGGGAGGGGAAGAAGAGAGAGAAAGGGGGGTATTACTCCAACGTCTACTTTAACGCTCAGGGGAGCCCCGAAACCCAGCGGCAGCAACAGTTGGGATGCTACTCCAGGGGGACACATCTGGTAACGTGCCCAGACGGAACCCGCGCTCCTCCGCCCACCACCCCTTCCCGGCATCCGACCCCGGCGAAACCCGGCACCCCGAGCCCCCACGTGGGCGCAGGAAGTGCCTGCCACTCCCAGCCTCCCAGTCCCACCCTCCGGAGCAAGTCTCCAGTGATCCGGCCCTCCCAGCCCGCACTCTTTGGCCCGGCAGGAGGTTTCCCCGGGCGGCAGGGGAGGGGGGGAGGAGGGGGCAACC